CGATTAACCGATAAACAGCTATCGCATTCATCTGCCATCTCCAACGGCACGCACTACATTTTTTCGTATTTTATTTGGTTAAATTTTATTCTCAACTGAAGGCCAGGAAAACGAGCAGCAATGGGCAAACGGCGGACGCAATCCCTGATCGACTCCAACTCCAGCGATAGCGACAGCGAATCGGAGACCAATCTGGAATCGGTGAGTGGATAAAAATTAGATCGAATCCCTGGTCCGCGCCCCTTTCTCCATATTGCGATGTAACGAAAATCAATGCGGATATGTGTCTGAAAATATATATTGTACTGAATCATCCTCAGGACCTGATGTCGCTGGCCAAAAAGCGCAAGAAGCCCCAGACGGCGGCAAAATCGAGCTCCCGCTCTGACTCTGATTCCGACTGGGCCAACAACAAAGCCGGAGCCCCCGCCTCCAAGAAGAAGAAGCGCCAAAAGGCCAGCAGGGACTCGAGCTCCTCGGAGTCCAATTGGGATGACGACAGCCAGGATGAGGAGCAGCCGGCGAGGCAAAGCCCAGCGCAGGCCCAACAGGAGCAAAAGCCCCCAGAGCAAGCGACTCAGCCCGCCCATCTCAGCGAACAGGAGGAGGGCGAGGTTTCCGACAGTGATTCCGACAAGTCCAAGTCCAACTCCTCCTCTTCCGGCTCCGATTCCTCCAGCTCTTCGTCCTCCAGCTCCGATTCAGAGTTCGATGATGGTTTCGACGACGACCTCATGGGCGACGAGGAGGATCGAAGGCGTCTCAATGCCCTATCCGAAAAGGAGCGCGAAACGGAGATCTACAAGCGAATTGAGCAGCGTGAGTTCATGCGAACGCGCTGGGAAATCGAACGGAAGCTGAAACTGGCTAGGCGAGGCGAAAAGAACCAGGAGAAGTCAAAGAACAAAGGAGAACGAGCCAAGAAGAAGAAGGAGAAGCGCGAGAAGAAGGCGAAGAAGGCCCGGGAGGCACAGGCGGCCGCACCGCCACAGGCTTCCATATCCACACTGTCGGATGCAGAACCCAAGCCCAGCGGCGAAGTGCGGTCAGCAAGTCCTTTGTCCTCGCCCGCCCTCAGTCGAGATGTGGCTTCCACATCGGCGGCAGTAGCCAGTATTCTGCCCGATGATCAGGCAGCCGCCGCTGGCGTCTCCGATTACTTCGATCACAAGGAGCGTTCCAAGGAGCGCAAGAAGAACGTGGAGGCTAACAAAACGGACGACAAAAGGAGCAACGCCATGGCCTTGCTAAAAGCCAAGCGAGAGTGCAAGGCCAAAAGGGGTAAACTACTTAATTTTAATAGATCTCACTTTAAGGTATTAACATTCTTCTTACCACCTTGCAGAGGAAGAGGAAGCCAAGCGCCTGGCTGAACGAGATCGCGATGATGACAAGGAGGAACTGGAGAGCGTCTCTGGTTGCAAATCAGCCGTGAAACTGAAAGCCTCTGAGATATATTCAGACGACTCGGGTAGCAGCGATTGGGATGAGGATGAAAAGCCCACGGGCAAGCGATCGCGCTCCAACAGCAGCAAGGCCTCCAGCGAATCTGAGGACGACGAAAAGGTCCCCCAGCGGCCCGTTTTTATTACCACTCGCGAGGATCTAAACAAGCTGCGCCTATCGCGCTACAAAATGGAGCGTTTTGTGAACTTGCCCATCTTTGAGAGCACCGTACTCAACTGCTTTGTGCGAATCAGCATCGGAAACAATGGACAGAAGCCTGTTTATCGGGTGGCCGAGATTGTGGGTGTGGTGGAGACGGGGAAGGTCTACAGTTTGGGCACCACGCGTACCAATCGCGGGCTGAGACTTAAACACGGAACCCATGAGCGGGTGTTTCGACTGGAGTTCATTTCGAACCAGGATTTCACCGAGAGCGAGTTCAACAAGTGGAACGAAGTCTGCCAGCAGGGGCACGTCCAGATGCCCACTATCGACCTTATCGCTACCAAGCAAACCGACATCAAGAAGGCGCTGAACTACGAGTTTAAGGACGAGGACGTGGACAAGATCGTGGAGGAGAAGAACCGTTTCCGCAACCGACCCACCAATTATGCTATGAAAAAAACCTGCCTGATGAAGGAGCGCGATGCGGCAATGTTGCGGGGCGACTACGACATTGCACAGGATCTGGGCCAGCAGATCGACGAGCTGGAGAACAGGGCCTCCGAGCTGGACAAGAGGAGATCACATACCCTCAATCTGATCTCCTACATCAACGATCGGAACCGGAAGAAGAACGTTGAGGATGCCGAGAAGGCGATTTTAGAGGAGGCTCGTGCCAACAAGGGTCTAAAGATTTCAGACCCCTTCACACGCCGGATCACCCAACCGCGCATGGGTTTCAAGGGTGCCAAAAAGGACGACGATGACCTGCAGCTGGCACCACTTCCACCGCCACCCCCGGGCAAAAAGAGGCCGAACGAAGCGGGTACTTCGAGTGCGAGCACCAAGCCAACGGACGCCAAGGATTTCAGCCTGTACTCACTGCACGACTTTGACATCGACTTGGATGTGCCGCTACCGGGTAAGTTTTTTCGCTTTTTGCAGCGAACTTTCATAACATTTCTTTTCATCTCCAGTTAGTACGAATGCAGTGCCCAAACCGGCCAACAAACCAGCTGAAACAGTCTCCAAGCGTTCGCTGAACTTAGAAGATTACAAGAAGAAGCGGGGCCTAATCTAGGAAACGAAATCGGTGGTCTACACATTTTGACAAAACTTCACATGTTCACGTCCTAGTTTAGCGTAGTGCCCCATTGACTACAGCAAACGATTGCTAATGCCACAACGACTCGCCCAACTGAAGGAGCAAGAAAACAGAAAACGAGGGGCAGATCCCTCGGCTTATAGTTACAGTTCATAATTGTATTAAGGTTGATGCAAAAGGTTTGATAAGATCGGGCGAAGCGGATGATTTCCCATTACAACAAAACTAAATATCCTAATCTAGGATACTTCCCCTGTTTGTGTTTGTTCGGTATCCCCTTTAATATTCAATTTTTAGCGAAATTATACAAGCAGCACAACAAAGAGCAGCAGCAATATCGAACAGTTAGAATTCTTATGCAAATAAGGGACTCATTAATTAATAAATATAGAGTGATAAAGTAATTTTCATAGTATTTAAGTTGAAAATTGTATTACCAAAATAGATAACCCCAATCCAGCCCAGCCCAATACTTCTCGACGAGATGTTCAATAAATTAACAACTAACATAATTTATACAAAACTAGTTTACAGCAAACACTCAATTGTTTACTCAGGCATATGGCAAGTTTTAAGGAGATTCCAGGGACAAATATAAAACAGGCTGATTAAATGGGATATGAACACACATTCAAGTGTATCCGTTGGTTGTAAGCGTTCAATGATGTTTAAGCTTTAGCCGAAATTCATCAAATGTAGCAACAGCATTCACATACTTAATTATACACATAAATAATAATTATTTATAATAAAGAAAATTACTATAAAATGAAGTTGTGAATTTAATGGAGATAATTCTTGCAATAGAGAAAACCTTGATAACTATAATGGGTACTTTATTTTGGAGTTCCAAACTTTGTTATTGATTAAGTTTCAATAGATACATTTTGTTTTTTGGCGCCATTTCCAACTTTAACTTCAATTAAAAATGTAAACCTATGGTCGCCAATCTTTACTTAATCGTTCTCTTGGGTTAGGTTAAGTTCGCGCCATTTGGCTCATTTTAATTGGTTTGCAGTGTGTTTGCGCAGCTGGCTGACTCCCTTTCATGTTCTCACCAAATTAATTCAATTAATTCGATGAAATTGTCTTTTAATTGAACATGATCGCGTTTCGCGTTGTTTCGTCAGAGAGAAAAACATGAAAGATCTGCAAATTTATATACAGACTTTAACGGTCAATACGTACTGTACATATGTGAAAGATCTTCATCTTACTCTGCAGTGGAAACATATAGGATGCTAATTTGAAATAAACTTGAATTGATTGTTCTATAATGCACTTCCGCTTGAATATTTCCAAACTTTGTTCCTTCTGTCTTTTTGGGAACCTCGCAGCCCCGAACATATTGTTCCCAAATGGTGAATGTGACTGATCCGATCACAATGATGACGATGTGGACGAGGATGTGGATGGGGGAGCCATTGTGGCACAATGACATTTTATCTCGGAATATGCAACAGCAGCACGTTCTCTGAAGCGGAGAGTGTAATAGATCAGCGGCGGAATCTCGATTCTGAATTCGAAAACTACCGATGCGTGGCCCATGCAAATGTTCTTGCAGCGGCTTCGGTGTGGGTGCATCTCACAGATACTTACTGTGCTGCACGGAAAAAAATGCAGATCGTTATCAGTTTTATATTAGCAGGTCAATTGACTTTGAAGTATGTACTGTCACTGAATAATGAATTCTTTCTCACGCAAAACTAAAGGGTAATTTGTAGTATGGAATACCATGTTTCTAAACAACAGTTCAAAGTATTGTATCAAATTTTATCTAGGTAAATACATATGATTTTGAATATTTAATATTATATATGCTAGGTAGGTATGATTATGGAATACTGAACATATTTTTTATATTTTAAATATTAAATAAGGGCTAGGAATATTGTCAAAAAACTAATATTTTCTTCATATTATAAATATTTGCATACATATTATTTACCTACAATGTCCTACATATAGTACATAACTTAATATTAAATTGATATTTCAATAGTATTAAAATCAAAAAGTAGATATCATGCCGAATTTAAAAACCAAGATTATTTTCTACATATTTTTCTCTCGGTGTAAGCATGTGGGAGAATACGAATCCCCTTGGCGGCGACTAATCAACCGGCATCGGCATGCCTTATACACAAGTGCTGTGTGCTGTCCGGCAACGGTTTCTTCATCGTCGCCCCGGACCAGGGCATCTTTCACCGTCCGCCCCTCGGGGCTCCACTGTACATGTGTGTGTGGTGGTGCAGTATGTGCGGCTTAGGGGACACTGGCTTCCCAGTCAGCTCAACCGATCAGTTCAAAGTTGACTTCGTCGCGGACCAGAGCGGACCGTTCTAATTCCGACACGCGACCGTGAATTATAGAATTACCAAATCACAGTTTAATTCAATTTAAAAAAATATAGGCAATACTAAAAATAAAACTAAAATGCAATCTTATAAGTGCTCAATTTTGAGGTGTTTATTAGTGGGCTTGATCCTTGGCCAAGTGCAAGCCGAGTTGGATTTTAACAACGATCTCGAGAACAGCCAAAAGTTCAAGAGCATACCCACCACAGTGAAAACCTATGAGAACGACACAGTCCAGCTGCCTTGCACTTTAAATAGTAAGTGACTAATTAATGAAAGATTCTTAAATGAAATAAGATACAAAACTTAGTGCATATTGAGGGGATTTCTGACGATTAGCCCCGCTTTTGGGGCCTTGAAACAGCCACCAGCAGCAATTGGCCATAACAATGAGATTTAATTCGATTGAAGAAATGAACTTACAATGGCACCAATGAAGGTATTATCCAACAATAATAGAGCTCTGGTGTGGAAAGTCCAGAAACGGATTCTATTAATTGAACGTTTAACACACTTAGCTGCGCATTCAAGTAGCTGGGTAGGAACCCTCCCGAGACATATTGTTAACTGTCCAATTAAAGGATTATTGACAGAAGCAATTAAGTTTTGAAAGGGTTTACAAGTTTACAGAAAAGTCACACAAACTGTGTTTATAGGAAACCCTATACGGAAATTCAGTCACCACTAATTAATGGAAACAACGTAGGAGTTATTCAGCCCCCAAATACGGGCCTCTTTAGGCGATAGTACAAAAACTTGAAAGTTGTTTCTAGTCTTCCTGCTACGATAAACAAAAAACTGGGGAAACTAAGGGAAAGCTTTGAGGTTTTGAAAATTATAATTAAGATATAGTCTATTTCAGGAATAAGTTTTGATTAGGTCCTATACAAGCCTCAGGGAAAAACCAATTAAGTAAAAATATCTCGAGTAACTGGATTAGTTTACAATAAATAGTTTAAATCGTAATATGTATTCTTAACCGCGCAAAACTTTGTATCTTGTTTATACTCGAAAAACGTTTTATTAAATTTTAAATTCCATGTTGCTGACCGATGCAATTGGTTTGGGCTTCGAACGCAAGTTAAAATTTACTCAACGAATGGTTTATTAATTTAAGCAATAAGACTTAGCTGCATAGAAAAAAATTAAAAGAAAATAATCTTGTTTAATTTATTGGAAAGATTTTAATCTTTACAATTAAGAAAATTAAGACAATTAGTTACTTGGCCTATTATATTTCTTATAATCTTTTTATTACATAAAACGTCTTATATGTAAGATGTTGCTAAAACAGATTTTCGTAAGACTAAAAATGTCAAAAAAGATCTACTCTTTAATATGCTGTTATAAAATAGTACATTAGTGGCATCTTTAGAAGAAGATACTTTTTTAATTTGCTTAAATTTATTTATAAACAGCTCCCTTTCGCTATGTCCGGTGGCATCGGGACGACGTGGCCCTGGTGGATTCCAGACATCCAGAGATCCCAAAGCCGGATCGCATAATGCTCTGGCCCAATGGGAGCCTCCAGGTGGCCAATGTTCAGTCCAGTGACACCGGCGATTACTACTGCGAGATGAACTCGGATTCGGGTCATGTGGTGCAACAGCACGCCATAGAGGTGCAAGTAGCACCTCAGGTGTTCATTGAGCCCTCGGATCTCACGGAGCAGCGGATCGGAGCCACCTTGGAGGTGGTGTGCGAGGCCCAGGGAGTTCCCCAACCGGTGATCACCTGGCGGTTGAACGGCAATGTCCTGCAGCCACATAGCAGCACCGGGAATCGCCAAAGCCTCGTCCTGGATATCAAGTCAAGGAACCAGGCGGGACTCATAGAATGCGTGGCCAGCAATGGAGTGGGCGAGACAGCGGTGGCCAATGTGTATCTACATGTGCTGTGTGAGTTGATAAATATAAACTGATAAATGTTAAGTACCCATAAAGTAGGAAGCGCATGTCATACTCGGAAACAAGATTGGTCAATACAAAGATTGGTTTTAAAATCAATCCGGTGAAATATTGATAGCAAAATAATTCCACCTCTAACTGATTAAATATATACGAATCTAAAGAGATTTCTGTTACACGAGATTAAGTTTAAGTTAAACATTTAGATTAAATATTTAAAGTTTTTTTGCTGATATAATTAATCCATAAAAAATATAACTCCCGTAATGATAAACTCTCCCCTCACTCCACAGTTTCGCCTGAGGTGACCATTTCCCAGTCCGTGGTGTACACCAAACTGGGCTCTCGTGCCCATCTGGAGTGCATTGTGGAGGCGGCACCAGCGGCAACGGTCAAGTGGTTCCACCATGGATTGCCGGTGGCCCTGGGAGCCCACTCCACCAGTCACGAGTCGGAGCTGCAGACGAATCGCTCGGTGGACCATTACGTAAACGCCGTGCGCCACATGCTGGTGGTGAAGACCGTGCGAAATGCGGATATGGGGCAGTACGAGTGCCGGGCCAGCAACCAGATATCCGTAAAAAGCGGAAGCATCGAGCTGACTGGCCGCCCGATGCCCTGCCTCTTTAAGATCAATCCGGGCACCCAGAGCTCCACCTCGCACGTCCTCGTTTGGCAGACGGAGAGCCTGCTGCCCATCATGGAGTTCAAGCTCAAGTTCAGACAGATTCCGTCGAACAATGTCACCCGCCAGATCAGAACCAACTGGACGGAGCTCACGATCCCGGCTCAGGCCACCAATGGTAAGGATATAAATAGTAATAGTAAGGAATTTGAATATCAAGAAAAGTTACCGCTCATATTGATATGCATATTGTATATACATAGATCAAATTCGAGTGGATGAGTGTTAAATAAAATTGTAGAGCAACTTAATTTCACTTCATGAAGGGAATCAAAAAATTTCAATGCAAAATAGTCGGTAAACTTCAGTTAGGCTAATTTGACAATTGACCTAATTCTATTTTAATTTATGGAATCCAAATTAGCACTTCACCTATTCAAATCAATGGTATATTTTTAAGGTAATGAAAACACAAGGTAACAGAATAATGATTAAATTCCTTAAAAAAACAATACATCTTACCAAAATACAATTCGAAACGGGATTTTAATTGAATACAATACTTCTATAAGTGATGATATAAGTAAGGTTTTCAAAAAAATAAAATAAACAAGAATTTGTACTTTTGAAAAAGATAAAAATTTGACATTAAATATCTGTGACATTTAAAAGTCTTAAATTCCTTTTCTTTTTTAACCCTAGGACTTATCTACATCACAACATACACCCTTCATGGCCTTCAACCCGCCAGTCTCTATGAAGTTTCTGTACTGGCCAGAAATAGTTTTGGATGGAGTGACAATAGCAAAATCGTTAGATTTGCCACAGGTGGAGAAGGTAGAGTGATTTAAATTACAAACATGCTATCTATTGATATGTATTTACTTATTTATGTGTTTATTTCTGCAGTTGAACTACCCAATTACTCGACAGAATCAGAGCTTCAGGATGACCTAACCGATGAGGACTTCCACAACGAAATTACGCAAAGATCGGATGTTCTATCGGCCAGCATGATGTTCAACTCGGGCTCAGTTTATGGTCACGAAGTCAGTGCCCTTATTTATTCCATGTGTCTTATTAAACTATTACTCTTAATAAGTTAGATTTGCATTCAAATATATTGAATTTTTAACGAACTGATGTCTACGCACCATTAAATAAAAAACATTCAATCAACTCGTGGACAAAGATGCCTCAGGTCGTAGGTGATTCATGTTAAGATTAAATCACTTGAATCATACTTCCGTAAAAAGGTGTATGATAACATAAGGTGCTGGTGGAAGTGCATCATGGCTAACAAATAAAATTCTTAATATTATGAGTGAATCTGAGCCTAAATTTAACATTACCTGTAATAGATTAAACTTAGAGGTGCGCCTCAATATCCGTTTGATTTTTAAAGTTTACTTTTTTAATTTTATATGATAATTTTTTTTTAACATCTCGTTTTATTATTAGTTTTTTTTTTAATACTTTTTATAGGATGTTATAAAAAAATACATTTTGCTACACTCAGCAAAAACACCTTGCTAAAATCAAGTACAAACAGTATTGACTTAAGAACGATTTCAGACTTATCATTTTAAGATAAAAATTATTCGTTCTTAAGTCAATGGATGAATTTTTTTTTACTTTATTAATGAATTGTACTTGGTTTTAGTACAAAAATGACTAGACTTAGGAATAATTTATACTTTATTGTAGAACGAAAGGGCCTTCAAACGTACTAAAATCGAGTATTTTCTGTCTTAAAAAATCGTACTTGAACTCAATTGAAAATACCTGATTCAAGCGCGAAATACTTCATTTTTTATTGAGTGTGGAATAAAACTTAATTTATTTTAACACTTGTTAAAAAAACGAAATCATTCATATTGCAGCATTTATCCAGTGCGTATGTGTTATATCTATCTTATCTATCAATCGTATAGCTCCTTTAGAAATCAACAGCTCCCACCTCGTTGGTAAAACCGAAAGGCCCTTGCTACATGTCTTAGGGTATTTTTTCAGTATAGGGCTTCCTCTTGGAACTTCAATTGGCACTGACATTGCGGACAGCTAACGCATCTTTCAGACTCCAAAGACCCAGACCCCAGACTCGGGCCCAAAGACCATTTCTCAGAGAGAGACTGTCTAAACCATTCTGCTCTCAATCTGCAGACTGTTATCTCTACAGGCCCCAATGCGGTGGAGAGCGTAATATTACATATAGAGAGAGGTGTTCCGTATACCAATCGTTTCGAAGTGCTTTCGGCATCCACAGCGCGCGCTTGATTTTCATTTCAGTTCAGTTCACGTTTGAACAGCTACGCGTTCGGTTCTCCACGAAGCCCCAGCGCAAAAATAAAAGGTCTCCATCTCTATCTCCAACTGAACCAATACCTCCGTACCCATTCCCCCGCAAAAACCCTAGGCATAAGGCCAATTACCGACAGCTGTAAACGTTTGCATTCGACCTGGCTAAAACGTGTAAAAATCACTTAAAAAATGGCGTGCGGGCGAAAGCGTTGCCGACGCGCAAGTGTTAAACGTAATTCGTACAAAATCCGGGAAAAACAAAAGGAAAGAAGAGGAAACCACTTTTGTAACGCTTCAGCCGAAATTCATCTCGCGTCGGTATCTGGGGACCAAGCATCAGCTAAAAAACCAGTTTTCCTCCTCTAGGCTCTCTGGGCAAAATAAATACGAAACAAAATAACAATCTTCAACGCACACCGCACACCGCATCGCATCCATTCTGTAACTCTGGCCCTGAGATGCCGAACTTAAAGATTTTGTGATTTCGGCTTCGGGCCAAAACGACAGGCGATGATTCATAATAATGGGCTAAGAAAATAAGAAATATATGGCCAGCAGATGTGCTCTATATCTTCACTTTTATCCTACTCCTTCAAAGCCCATTTGGCAGGAATTCAAATTCGGTTTCAGTTGAAATTCTTTGCTCTTTGCCGCTTTCTTCGTTGGCAGATTCTTTGCTGCAAATTCTATAAATATGTATAAATATGTAAAGTATCTGTGGTTCTGCCGGCTACGAAAATACCCAAACAACACAAGAAATGGCAAGGGAAGATGGTCAAATGAAAGCGAAAATGCAGAGGAAAAGCGCTGGGGAAATAGGAAATTGAAGAGTGGGAAACCAGGGGGCACCAGCTGCTGGGAGAGGAAAATGGGAAATGCAAACAAAAACCCCGAATGGAAAACAAATTTTCTATACTTGTTTTTATTTACACTAGAGTAGGCAAAAAACTGGGATGAAAATAACAGAAAAGTTTTTGGAGTTCCGTTTGGGATCTCCAGATCCCAGTCCCCAAAAAGCATTCTACGTATGGAAGACAGCTGCATGTGTCCCCCAACCACACTCTCGCACACAAGTGCACATGAGTTGTGTGCACCCGTGTGTGTGTGTGTAAACTTTAAGCGCAATGTAAATAAACAAAGCGCCAAAGACAAAAACAACAAAAATAAAGGCATTGATTTAAAGAGAACCCAACGGAAAGAAGAGGAAGAATAGGGCCTTACAAAAAATGAGTAATAAACTAACTTTACCAAACCGAATCTTAAGCTTCCCTATGAATAGTATACTATTATTACTTAAACATATTTGCATTTATAACATTCGTTTTTGAAATAGAACAGTACTAACTTATAATTTTGATGCATTTATCTTTTATAATAACAATGTTATACACAGTTCTTCCAGTATTTTTCTATACATATAAGCAATGAAAATTTAATTGTATCCGTTATGGGTAATTAATCTGCGAAAATATATAAAAAACGTTTGAGATCGTTGAAGCTGACATCATAATTACATATAGTATGTAGCTTATGGGATCTTAAAATTATAAAACCCTCTAGAAGTGTATATAAAAGAAAAACAACCCAGTTTGCACCTTCTCTATGGCTTTGATTTTATAATTGATAAACAGACCCGAGGGGCGGTAAAATCAGTTTAGTGATAGTTAAAGGGGGCTTTCGACGACGTAGGTGTCAACGAGTGTTAGAACCCAAGCACACATATATGGTCATTTATCTGAGGTGCTGTCTGTTCAGATGACACCCCACAATATAGTGGCTGGGAAAAACTCTGTTACACAAGTAAGTGCGGAAATTGTCGCTCATTAGGGAACTTTTGTTCGGGGATGCTAAGTGAGGTAGGGAAGATAAAGGAACTTAATTTACGGAATAAAATAAAGGGGAGGTGTCTTTTCTAGTTTGAAATATTTTAATAATATGCTTTATTCTGCTCAAAATACTTATCAAATAAGAGTAATTTAATAATAATTACTTTGAGTGCAATATTTCAAAGTATTTGAAATCTATTGAAAGACTAAATACAAAGATTTAAAAAACCAGTTTTTAACAATCAGGTTATTTTTAACTACTTAACAGTTTAAAATGAAATGCATATTTAGGTATTAAAACCGAATTATTTTTTATCTCAAATTTTTTTGGTTTCTTTAAAAGTTTATTAACCTAAAAAATGCAATACTAAATGTTACTTTGCTGTCAAACTAGTGTTAGATAGAGAATTGCGAAGCCGACTGTTTGCTGAGTAAGCATTGCGAAATTTTGAAATTTTGTTGCAAATGCATCAGAGATGGATTATGATCATCAGGCATTGCAAAATTGTTTGTTTTATGAGTCGGGCGCATAAACAAATATGTAGTTTATATGCGCATGCAGATGGTTGTTTGTTCGTATGGGTGAGCTATGCCATTTGCAAACGGCTTTTATATCAACAGCCAGAATTTTGTCGATTGGTGTATTTTGGTGTACTTTTTTTTTCTATATCGGCTTTTCGTGCTGTACAGTTTTTCGCATTTGCACATTAATTTATTTATATGCATAAACATTTGCATGCTTTTCGACTTGGCACACCCTGACCCAATACACCCCCCAAAAGCCCCCACTTCGACCCAGTTTACTGACCGGCTGGCATTGAGTCAGCCAGAAAAGAGAAATATACAGTCAAGCATCCTTAATCTTAAAAAATACTGATTCATTTAAATTGTCCATTGGAATAAAAATATTTAAAATATATTGTATATTTAAATCAGCGTTAGGCATGCAATACGATTACATTTTATTGTACACTGTATGTGTGGCGGCAAGGATCGAGCAAAGCAATTCCCCATTTTAGACAGAATTTTGCAAAGATTCCTACTCCAATTCTAAGCATGATTCATACTTACATATGTATATCCATTTTTTAAATGATCAAACTGCAAAAAATTTAATTCAAACAAATGTATTTAACTTGGATTTAACGTAAAAACTAATGTTTTTTTAACAGAATATTTGAAATTTTCCCTAAGAAAATGTCAAAGTCAAAAATCCAATATGAACAATGTTTACTAAAGTACTTAATAGTAAAGTTAGCCCAGAAGAATTTATACTGTACCGAGAGAGAGGAGCTGTAAATTAGCCAGCGGCAGCAGCAGTGGCAAAAAACTCGCAAACGGCGACTTTTCGCATAGAGATCATAATATCTTCAAGATACAAAGATACAACTTATCTACGGAGAGCAAATTGCGACAAGATACAACTTACGGCTTGCATAACATAACGCGGCCAAGCGAGTGAGCAATGTTTACAGATCGGTCGAATATTTTCTTTACCCAGCAGCCATATGTTTTTTTTTTGAGGCGAAAAAATTCGTTTGTAGTACGCCGTTTTCCTTGCATTTTGTCCAAGCCAATTAGAAGTTTCCGGTCCGCGACGCTGCTAGCATACAAAATCCACCATATAAACCATAAGCGTAATTAAGAAATCATAAAACCAAAAAATAAATTGTAAAAAAACAAATTTAAGCCATGAGCCAAACTAAGAAATCATAAAGGCAAAAAATAAGTTGTAAACGTTTTTCGGCGGTTTTTGCGGCTCCCGTTTGGGAGTAAAATAATGGGCCAAGCTAATTCATTAAGTACCAACCAACCATATTAATTGCAGTTAACGACCTACCTCCGACAGCTCCGAACCAAATTCAAATCGATAAACCAACGCACCAAAACCCAGCCAGACAAACACTAATCATCATGATCAGAGCGAAAGATTCGACGGGGTTGCTGTTAATTTTTCTACTAATTGGACCACTATGCGGTAAGTCAAGGACTCAATCTAATGGTCTATAAAAACAAAGAACTAATTCGTATTAACACGATCTGATTTGATTGCCCCCGAAGTGGTTTTTATCGAGAGCTTCGAAAGGGGCAATTCCAAGAAATTCTTGGAGTTGAAAGTTGGAGAGAGTTGTAATGAATGTGTAATATTTTTATGACTGCTTGTAAAGATAAGGAGATTGGAAAGTGCAGCAGAAGAAGCAATGATGGTCTCCAGATTCTTGGGTTTTCGAATAAGGTTAAGCTTCTTGGGGGATTATTGAAGATATGGAACGTTCCAATAGATGTTAAGATATTTTTTCTGTGCCAATTAAGGACAATTTTTTTTTAAATAATCAATAAATTTAATACTTATATTTAATACTTTCAGTACATCCTATACGAATTGCAACATTCCTCTTTAACTGGCATTTCCAAGAAAATTATTCAAATGTACATATGATATCAATAAAGTGACCTCTTCACGTCTCAATAAGTTTACGTAATTTCCTTGAAATTATGAATTACCGAATATCATACAGAAATAAGTATAAGCCAGTTAGCCTAGATATGACTCCCACATATGTCACATACCTATACGCATACCCGTACTCCCGAGAAAGCTCCAGATAGCTCGGGTATATTATCATGGGTGCATAGGTGTGTGCCACGTGCGTATGCCTTATCTTTTGCGTAAATTGAACCCATACCAAGGCAAAATGTAGGTGCCAGTGGAAAAAACAAGCATATCTTATCGTTTGGGAGAGCGGCAAACACTTATCTCTGCTCAGAAAGTTAAATTTCATTCGCTTTTGGTATTATGGCGTAAATTGCTGATAACGAATAACATTCCAGTTCACGTAGCTCGGAAACTCTTCGTCGCCCGTGGGCCTGAAAACCCTCCCGCTCCCTCAACACTTTCCTCATTTTACCATCAGTTTTTTCCGGATGCCATGTGTTCTGGAATACGAATAAAAAAAGAATATCACCCAACGACTAGAATAAATATTTGCCAGGCACGAACGTTGTGCAAAGAATGGCATTTTGATGCTGAATATTTGCTCGTAAACTCCTTCTATGTGTTTGTGAAACGCCCCCAGAATTTCAAATGTAATCAGATGTCCCAGGGCATAGGCCATTATATGTATTTCAATACTTATATATACATAGATATACTTTTAATTAACAATGAATTTCGGCCAATTTTAGACATGAGATAAGGCGGTGTATAAAACGAAAAACCATTAAAAACAAACTAAACGCACATACTGCTGGAAATTTTGGAGCTTTGGCTTCATGTGTATTAAAATTCTAGCTGCTGAATAATAGTCTAGAATGTTTGGCCTACAAAAACAACCTGCTCAAGTCAATTTGTACAATATTTCATAATACTCCCAGCGACCAAAGAACAATATTTGTTTGTCTGTCTTAAATTTTTGTTCACTTTTTCACTTTTCAGTTGCAAAACTGAAGTTGATAAAGTCTTGGCCCTTAAAGGGAATTCGGTTTATTTATGCAGCAAACAACAAGTCAAGGTCTTCTTGGGCTATAATACTATAGTATTCCTGGAATTGGCGATTAAGTGTTTGATTTTACATACCCATGCATATATGCATAAGTGCTTGGCTGACTTTTTGGAGGTTTTATTCGGTCTTTTCCGAAAACCACCGAAACGAAAATGATCTAATTACGCGTTCGCAAGCGTCCGCAACATTCGTTTTCCAAAAATAAAGATCGCATAATAAATCAATGGTTTGTTCAATCAAAATGTTCCAGAGGGTGTGGAGAGAATGCCCATCCCAGGGGCCCAAAAAAAGCGGGAAGTCGATTTGCCGATTCAATTGATTTCAATTTAATTTTCCATTTATTATGTGTTTTGTCTTTTGGCATCTGTTTTTTAGCGCGTATTTTGTGTCTCTATGCAAATTCATGGAATGGAATTATGTATACAGTGGAACTGGGCACATTAATAGTCGCGGAAAATTTCTTAGATCTTTTTTGCTAGGATAAACATTTTAAATTTATTATATAAATGTTCCAAACTATAAAACAAATCTGTTTATCAATTTGTTAGTTCCAAGTGATTAATAAAAAAAAAAAAAAAAATTTCTAGAGTTGCCGAGTTTTGATAACTTTTTTTAGTAAATGTTTTAAAATAGTATTATTTAAAATTCTACTTAAGAAGTTGTAACACGGATGTAACTTTAAATAAGATAGAACAGAAAAAATGGAGTTCCATGTGGGGAAACTAGCCTGCTCATCTATCAAGTTTGCCCATTCCTCTCGTTCGGAACTCACCCAGTTCTGGGCACTTTTACGACCCCCATCACAATTTGACTGCTCCATCGACTTAGACATGACATGTCGATTAAGGAATGTTCCCCTCTTCTGTCGAATCGGCAAAATCTGGCCGCTGTTTCCTTTTCGAGATTTCGAAAATTTTGTGCATTTAGGATTGGCAAGCGGCGAGTAGTTGCCATCATTTATTTATACACATTTCATTGAGTCAGCAGACTTGGGCGAGGATGTCTATGTGGGCCACTCTAGATTTGTTTACTTATGAACTGACCTCATAACTCATCCCCCGTCCGTATGCGATCTCTCATACCACCACTGACCATATGAGGTATCTGGAAATCGAAGCAGCAGAGTGATCATGAAATAGCAATCGGACCGTTTGCCATCGAAAATCTTGAACTGAATCTTCAATGGGAGTTATCAATGGTGCGTCGAGACTGACAGACCTGTCCGACCTTCCTGATACCAGTGGAGTGTTATATGTTATATATGTACAAACGACTGGCGCCTAGTCCCAGGAAAACTCGTAAATGACTACATACTAAACATATAAAAATATTTCCTTGGAATCTGGGGCAAAGTAATGAAGAAGTAATATTGCATAGCCAAGGAAAAAGCAAATGAGATTCTAAGTAAAGTTGTTAACAAGTATATTAAAAACTTTACAGTCCAATTTTAATTTTTTTCCATTTAAGTTTTCTTGGAAATTATAAAATATTTAACATTGATTTGTGTTTTTGTTTACGAACTTTTGGGATGTTTTAACTTTAACCAATCTAACATACACATACATTTTTATTTTGAATCCTTTTACTCTTACCTTTGAAACTTTAGACTATAAAGTTTGGAACAAGAAATAAATAGTTTTAAAAAAATTATAACATCATAACGCAAACCCGTACAACAGTTTACCTACAGAGCAATAAATCCCACATTTCTGGAACTACAAATATAAACCCTAAGACATATTTAAATAATAAGAACCCATTACTCGGCAAATGGAAACTTTCCCTGCATGCTGTGGACATGACTTCATCTGTCAAGGAATGCAAAGTCATCAAAGTTGGCCTCAGGAATCGAGTGGATTGCGACAAATTCCCTGGGACGTCCCAATGCCAATGCAGGCCACAAATGGCCATTGTGTATAACATTGAACTCGAGTTTGGAGACAAAGGAGTGGCAGGACGAGAGAGTCTGGAAGAGACACTGGCGCCGCGACATCCTGTCGCCATTGTTCCACTTAGAACGATTGCACTGGGAGTCGGAGGGACTGTTGACTGGGGATTGAGGACTGGGGGTCTGAGGGTCTGAGCACATCTTCCATACGGATGAACTTAAGCTGAGTGGTTGTTGATGTTGCTGGGGAGCTGTTTTTTATTTGCACCCCCCCGCAATCCCGACATCATCGATCCAAGGACAACGCTCGCCCAGGGGGCTGGATGACGCATTTGGGCCCCGACCACCCAGCTTTTCAACTGACTTTTGGCGCTGACCTACTTGCAGACAACAATTGCGTGGAGTCGATGTCGACTCTTGGGAAGCCTGTGTTGCCATGGACCCATAACCTTGACACGGGCCGAAGATTGCAGTTGTCGGCGGCCAGCTTCCCCAATCACCAGTGCCAAGACCAAACCAGATCATTGAAGGTCCCCAGCTGCTCTTGGCCAGCTATTACGAGTATATGTTTTGGTTCCATCCAAGCCAAGTGGCCCAGACCATAAAAGGGGCGTCTGGCTGCGTGGCTGAGCGGATATCAGGAGGGGCCATTGGATAAGATAGCTGGGGCTCCGTCTTTGGATCGAGCGTGTCCGCCTAAAAAGCTTTTATCGACCAGTGATAACGAGTTTAAGCGACTTGCGTAATCCCGACAATATCCATCACAACCTTAGGCGATGGCCATGATGAAGTTGGTCGTGATTCGTGAGTCATTCGGCTGTTAGCCGTTAGATGACAAGTCAGTTACAGGCCGCATATGGCATGCAAATTGTTATGGCTAATACATGAAAAATTGCGGTTCAACAAAATTACTCATCCAATTTGCATAAATTCATAAATTTTCGTTCTGGAGGAGTCACAATCCAAATAGAGAAAGCAATAAAGATTGCTAAACCCAAACTCTATGACTGTACCTGACTTGATGGTCTGCAGTAATTTACCTAGAGCTTAAGAAATATCTTCTCATATCTAGTTTGTTATTTGCTAGCGGATTTAATACTGCGTCAGTGGTAATGGAAATGTTCTTTGGAGATGGCAAAGGGAATGGAATTCTTCGAAGTATACTCTTGGGGGCTTTTCTGATCAGTTCTTGGCATAACCTGCAGTGACTAAAACCAAACAGTATTTGTAATTAAATGTTAGTATCTGCAAATATGCTTTGCGGTATCTCCCCTAGTTCCTGTTGAAAACTCATTTCCGCTTCAGAACTTCACTCTCACAATCGAGTTCTTTGTGCTGCTACCCTTTGATTGGAAGCAGAAGATGCTGTATATGTTGTGTGATTTTTATCAACTCCAATTAAGTCTGGAACCACTTAGGGTGACTCACTGGTACACCTTGTCCAAGCCAAAAATAATGACGTAATGATCTCGATTTAAATGGTATAATATGGGCGTATACAATGTATACCCTACACAGATATTTAATAATTTAAATTGCCTCAACAGTTGTCTATGAATTGCTCATACTATATTGACATTTTAGAACTTATATTAAATTACACAGTTGAGTTTAAGTTGCAAACAAAAAAGATTAACTGCAAAAAAAAACAAATTTTTAATTATATAAAATATTGTTTTTCAGTGTGTTGTCAGGAAGAGGAAGGTTATCAGGACGATGATTACGAATATGGTGACGACGGTAGTGATGACAGCCAAATTATCGATGTAACAAAAGAGAAAGCTGATCAAATAGCGCCGCCATACTTTGAAGAATCTGATCTGAGGATCGAGGCCAAGCCGGGAGATAATGTAGTACTCAATTGTGATGCACGGAACTTTCAGAGTAAGTAATTCCCAATTCATATGCTTATAGAACTCTGGAAAAACTTATATTTTTCACATCCCTACAGTCAGCAATGCGGTAATGTGGTACAAAAGCCGGACAATCATTGCCAATGGCCAGAACCCCATTAGCCAGCGCGTGGAGGCCATGATGAACAACTCGATTCTCCTGAAGAATGTGACGCCGGAGGATGCGGATGATTACTATTGCGAAATACTGCCCCAGAGGGTTCGACAGCACACGGCACTGCGGGTGGGCGCCCGGCTGTCGATCCTCTGCGACGATCGCGATATTACGGATCGATCGCAGACGTTCAGGCAGGGCGACCACCACAAGCTCGAGTGTCGAACGTATCTACCTGGCAGTACGATTATCAAGTGGTCCTTTAATGTATGTTTTTCTTTCGTACACCCACTCATTACCACTCATTCCCTATCCCTGGGATCCCCCCAACATTTTCCCTCCCGAATTTCTTGTAGGATCTTAATGGAAAGCCATCGCCCGTCGAGAACCAGAATGGTGTGATCATTTTGGACAACGTAGATGAGAAGAATGCCGGAGACTACCAGTGTTTGGCCGACGATGGCAGTCGCCATCCTCCTCATGGCACCGTTCACATCGATGTTCAGTACAGTCCCATTGTCTCCACCCATCGCCATCATGTGAACACGGAAAGGGGCGCCTCCGCCGAGCTGTATTGCAATTACCGGGCCAAACCCATTGGCAGGAGCTACTTCATCAAGGACGGCAAGACCCTGCAGCTCTCCGACAAGTACTCCATCAAGGATTCGGTGCACAATGGGCACAATCGCACTACCCTGATCGTCCGGGAAGTGACGGACAGCGATCTGGGCGAGTATCTGTGCCAAGTGGAGAATGCCATTGGGTCCAACGAGGTGAAGGTCCATGTCAGCTACGTTCCGGAGACACCGCAGTTCGAGGACATGTCCGTGGAAGGCAACCAGGTCACACTGCACTGGCTGGTCAGGAGTCGGCAGCCCCTCTCCGAGGCCATGCTGGATTACCAAGTAACTGGGGTAAGTAACTCAGGAATGGAAAGCTATTTACGAACTAGCTTTTACCAAAAAAAATTTCCATTTTATTAAATTGGCTAATGGCAGCCAACTAGCATTTTTAAAATATACTTAGTTCCCCTTTTTTTATTAATCAATAAGTTCCTCAAAGCGCCCACATTTTATAAAAATATTTTGAAAAAGTTTAAATGGTATTTTGTTCTGATTATCATCACCAACATATATTCCTAAAATTGTTGAATTCGGACCATTCATTAAAAAGTTATAAGCAAATAGGAGCGCAATTTCGGAAACAGCCGATTTGCTGCATGCATACCTCCATCTCCCTCGCACTTCCTTTAGCCGAGTAACAGGTATCTAATAGTCTAATTGTAGATGTACAATAAAATAAACATTAATCATATAGATAGTGGTTACTCTCACTCTCAGCTCTAACTAATCCAAATCTCTTAACTTTCAGTCCCTTCATTGGAGCACTGTTTCAGTGCTGCAGACGCATCGCCACAATAGCACGGAGAACATCTGGAAGATCACTCACCAGCTGGAGTTGCAACGTGGAGTGTGGCATGCTCGCGTGAAGACGAAGAACACCCATGGATGGTCCCACTTTTCGAACGATTACGTCTTCGAAATCCGGGAGGGTTCCGAAATCGAGATTGACGAAGGTGCGTACTGCCATGGGGGAAAAGTAATATGTCTCAAAATCGAATGTTTACGACTTTCACCCTGTAGAAGCCGACAAACCGGAACTGCCTCCAGATGAGATCGTGCAGGCCGGAATCGGTCTGGTGCCCCGAGGAGCTGCGTCAGCACTCCAGCAGCTGAACCTGGGGGCAATCCTGCTGGTTGCTATCCTGCTGCGAATCCGCCTCTAAAGGGGTGCCATTTATTCAGACCGAGATGTGTACATACGTATTTCCGGATTACTCAGCTATCGATGGCATCGGAGCGATAGCGAACGCACATAGGAAACCGAAACTAAAGTATTCTAAACTATACAAATGCTAATGCGCGACCGCTAGCTTGGGTCAATGTTAATGTTAATGCTAAAGTACACGCTGGAGCGATCACCACTGAAACATTTGTGCCAAGTAAGGGAATTTGAAGAATCATGTTTAACGTTAATTTAGTTTAGTTAAAGTTAAAGGAGCGACGATCGGTCTAAAACCGCGAGAAAGGAACACTTTGATTAACCTTAGCTGTAATATTTATTTGTTTTGTCTGTATGCATGTGAGTTTTGGCACTTTTGGAGGAGGAACCCGAACCGAGAACGAATAGAAAAGGAGTCCATCGCTCAGGGGAGAATTTCATACTGGGTTTATGGGCTTATTCCCCAAGCGATGGCATAGTGTAGCGAATATTGGGTAAAGTTCTAGAGACTTTTTAGGATTTGCAATACGTACAATATTTTTGTATAACCAAGCGTACTTACGAACACATATATGTAACTGAATCAGAGGGGAATCGGGAGGGATCTATCGAACGGCACGCAAATTATTTTATAAACTAGACCAAAGCTTAGACATACATATGTGTACCTACCACACCATACATATGACACTTATTTTTACGAAACTACGCCACATCAACTGAATGGAACAGAAAGATTCAAAATATACAAATCAAAAGAACGAACGCATATGTACCTATGCCTAGGAGATACTGAAGAAAACTAAGAGAGAGCCATATACATATATATTGAGTACTGTTGATAATCGGGTTTGGCTTTACTTTACGTCCTTGATTCTGCTACAATACCTGAGGGATATCGCCATAACATGCTGACCATGTACTCTGTACGTACGTGTAATCCAATTGTGAGTGTAGGAATATATTTTATATATATTTTATTTAAGAATCATAACATTAGAGCTGATCAATAAACGTGCCAATCGAAGCAATCAAGCGTAACTGATTGCTCGCTAAATCAAATCAAAACGACACAAAAGTAAAGTTCCATAAACAATATTTTGACGAGGACCTGATTTCGAATGCCGACCTTTAAGCATATACACATATACAGAATCATATATATATAAAGAGGAATACTTAAAGCCAGTGTCTTACATGAATATTGTAATTTTCGTTGAGTCCATGATAAGTAAGCAAATAAAACTAAACCGAACGGATTCAACTGAGTTTTCTTGGAGCGATTGAGCAGTTGTTATGGCTTAATTTACTTTGGTTCCTTTTTTATTTAATAAATAAAGTTGATTTTGTGTCTTTACAAATACAAAAATTTACAATCAACAAAGACTTAAAATGCTCATTTTCTGTAAGAAGAGTGGAGAGTGTAGAAGAGAAGGCAGTGATATGCCATCGTAATACTAAACTATTCTAATGTTTGCCCATTCCCAGGAGCAGCAATATGGTGGATCCCATTAGCGTGTACCCAAGAAAACTGCTCTCAGATCCCGCCGCTGAAGTAGAGCTCTCCGGTGCAATGGCGTCCAGGGAATGCTCGGCAATGATCACATTCGTGTAGACCAAAGATCCGGAGGGCAGAACCTCGCAGTGGTAAGTGCCAGCGTCCTGAGATTTGGCCTTCAGGATGGTCAGATCGTAGTTGGCGTTCAGTTCGAAGTTGGGATGCACCAGATTCTTGCCATTGGAAATGACATTGTTGCCGAAACGCCACAGAACTACAACCTCTGAACTTTGCACTGAAAATTGATAGATTTTTAGTTGGGTTCTCAAGATGAACTAGACTTTACTCACGATTGCTTCCCACATCGCACTTGAGCACCACATCTTCGCCTCGGATTCCTGTCACAGTAAGGGTTTTGTTTATCGTCTCACCGGTACTGGAACTTGCTTTTATCTGCGGACTGGGCGCACTGTCGTTATCCTCTTCGTAATCAAAGTTATCATCACCCTGCATTCCGTCTTCTTCGAGAGTAGATTGTGGGTATGAGGAAACTGAAAGGGAAACGAATAAAGAAATTAAAATTTAATTATATATAGGTAGTTTTAATTTTTTGAAGGAGAATGCATCACACCCACATAATGCTTTTACAAAAACGATCTATATAATATTTATTTAATTAAATGTTATGAATAATATAATAATTATAATAGTAATATTACTAATTATTAGGTATTCTTAGCTTTTACAGATCAACTTTCCTGACTTATAGAATTTGTTTATTCTAGCCCTAATATTATAAAGTTTATATGATTTTATTTCGAAACTGAGAATTCTTTTTATCGATGGCCCATAAATCGTCTGTATTTTGCGGTATCTTTAGAAGATCGACTATAATTATAGACCATTTGATTGTTTATAACGGCTGCCCGCGGGAGGTCACATCAGCCAGCGCATTTAGTCGGTGGGTTAATTAAAGGAAATTAAATGGAAATCGAAACCAACGCAGACTTCTGCTGCTGTTCTTGTTGTTTTACCAGGGTGCACTAGGCCATCATGACGGCCTGTGTTTGTGTTTATCTTTATCATTTTCATTTTCGCAGCTCAAATTCATCAGGGGGTTCTCAAAAGAGGGGGTGCTGAGGGGACAGCTGCACCGATGATGGGTTAAATTAAAGGCTGGCAATTCGCATTCACGGGTTTCCTTTCGGTCTCCGATCCCCTACATAATTACCAACGTGCGCGCAGGGGCGTAGGAAGAGGGTTTTGATCAAATAAGCAAAGTATTTCCAGACTCTATAATAAAGCGATTTTCGGTGGATAAAAATATATTCTTGTTTGATTTTTAACTTAAATATATGTATGAGTAAAATATTTAAAAATATTTTTTACTTATTTTTATAAGAAAGAAATCCAGAAATAAATGTCGTACTCGATTAAACATTATAAATAAAAAATATGAGAAGAGATCTGATACCCCCCTTGTAGAAATCCTGCGGCTGCCTCTGCATTTTGTGCATGTGTACAAACACATTTGGTGGAAAACATTTCGGTGAATTGGGGTCACATGAAAAACGAAAATTAAAATGAGCGAGTGGAAAGAGAAAACAAGAGTGCCTAACCCAACACTCCCCCTTGCAATCGCTTCGCCCTCACCCCCCTTTTTTTCCGCCTCTGGGGCGATCGCCGCACCCACATGTGACGTGCTGACGGAAAGCCAACAACAACTACGACGGCCAGAAGAACGGCAGCACATTGGGCCACTTTTTGTTTTTCGGTGGTGTCGCCGATGGACACACCGAATTGAAAGCATTTCACAACAATGTCCATTTTCATAGTGCCAACTGCAACGCGCACACTCCTACAAATAAAAGTGCACTGTAAAAAATACTTCGAAAATTGATTTACTATTTTAACATTAATTTTATAAATCAAGGAAATCCATACTTCATACATTCCAAATTGCAAGTATAATACAAAACAAATATATTATTGTTTCAATTTTGTATCCTACATTAAGTGATTAAAAAAAAATATTTCTTCTCAAATAAAAAATATCACATTTTTAACTTAATTTAAAAAAAAATTAATTTTAAAATGTAAAAAAAAGTGGTCCGTGTGACAATTGTTATGGATTAATAATATAGTTCTGAACTTTTAGGAATGAAATTGAATTTTCTTAATCAGGATACTCATCCATACAATATTATAAGACCAGAGTAATGAGAATACGCATGAGTAAATACTTAGAAGTAATCATAAGAATAATATTCAAAAATATATTAGCTTTCGATAACGTTATTAACATCTCTTTTGCCCTATTTTGTTACGTGTAAATAGTAAAACACCGCGCACACCCTCAAAAATAAAAGGGACAGTTTGGTTGGATGATTGTGAAAAGTTTAAATTTACATTTTGTCGCTTTTTGCTTTGGTCGCTTGTTTCTATGAGTGTTATGGCCAGTTTTTCATCGTTTGCTCAGCGTAGCGTGCTAAAATTTTTCTTTTGAAAACAAACAGCAATTCTCACTGGGCTTCCAACTCAAATTCGAATTCCTGCCAAAAGCGAATGCAACGAAATCGAGGCGATCGGTTTCCTGGTTTTCTTGCATTCCTCGTAACCTCCTGGTGCCCCATTCCTCTTCCACAAAAAATGCACATTCACTCACGCATTCGCTCTTTGTCGTAAACTTAAGCCATAAAAGAAATTTATTCTCGTATTTACATTGAACGAAAAAGACACTGTGGCCATCTGAATTTATGTTCGACGCTTTCCGCCCCAAAAAAAGAAGTCATTCAACCGGCAAGATAAGCGTGGAATAAAGAACAACAATTGCAATGAAAGTTTATTTGCAGAATTTGTTTTTTGGGAGGACGATCTGAATCGAATTGTTATTTGGCTTCCGATAAACATAAGCCGATAAGGAAGTCGGGGAATATTTTTTAGAAAAAGGAAATACAAAGTATACATATATACAGTGTTGAACAAGTCTGCTTGTGGGTATGTTTAGTTTTTCTGGGCTAAGGAAATTTTTAAAGATTTAAACTGTTCCCAAAGGTCTTAGTCCCAAAGGAAATTCTTTAAGACTTTAATAATTCCCAAAGAGTACAATCCCAAAGGAAACCTAAAAAACTTCAGACCTTCTATTTAAGCATTCCGCACGCTAGCTTGCTTTTTGGGATATCAATTGAAATTTAATTCTTCCAGTAAACACAATCCAATAATGAAATACAAAATATTTATATGGTATTGGATAACTCTGCTTGTAAATATTATGGAATTGTTCTAGACCTAGGTAATTCTTTAAGACTTTAATTATTCCCTAAGGGCTTAATCCCAAAAGAAACATAAAAATATGCGTCGAAAATTAAAATGGCTTTCAGAATTTGTTATATGGAAGGCCTTCCGAACTAAATATTTATTTGGCTTTCGATAAGAAATTAGGAGAATGTTAGTTAGGGAAATAAAAAATTCCCAATAGACATAAAAATAGTTTTGATTATACTTCTAAAACCTTATCAATAATAAAACATTGTACTTTTTTTTTATACAAAGATTTCGAGGAAGCAGAGCAGAATCTGGAAGCATTTAAGCCCAACATTTATAATACCATTAATGCTGCACTTAACCTATAATTTCATTTCACATCCTCCCGAAATTATCTTAAGCCTGGATTGTGTACTCTTTTATGTTTTTTCTATCTCCAGAGATAAAAGTTTACTAACCTTTCCTAACCCTTGTTTCCCGCCCGTTTTAATTGCTACTCAGAATTAGACCGACAACAATTTATCATAACCATGATTCCAAAAATATAAAAGGCAGGGAAAAATGCATTTCAGCTAATAACCCAGAGCCTCGGGCCAAAGTTAAGTCAGCATTAGTGCCAGTCACTCCTCTTTCCCCTATATACGTATATCTATGTATCCCCCTCTGGCCGGGAATCATTCAAGTGCAGCACTTTTGCTGTTGGTTTTACTACCTGTGATAAGGCCCCGAGGAAATTAAGAGTCAGACGTGGAGGGAGCGAGCTCTCTGATCTTTGATCTCCTTTCCCAGTGTTTTCAGGTTTGTCCAACCGGGTCTGTCCAAGTCCCTCCCCTCTGCATTTTATGCACTCAGCCAAATTGGGTATTGTTTTTTTCAGAAATTCATCTTTTTTGGGTTATTTTATAGAAAACATTTCGCAAAAATTACAAATAACATTGTAGTAAAGGGTTATATCGTTATGAATTTTGGTATGCAAGGATATTTTGAAGAATCAAAACTTTATGTCATGCCAAAAACATTATACTTTCGAAAATGTGGTCTTAACGGAATACTATATATACTATTAAATAGTTAGTTTTGGTAAGTTTTTTTCTAAAAATATTCAAATTTAACCCTTCAAGAGAAGGTTTTCAAGTTGTTTTTGAAAAATAAGGATCAAATTGTTGCAATCCTTAATTAAAATTTCCATTAATCAATAAATATACCAAAACGTAAAAACCTCTTTAAAATAAATGAAGGTAGACCATTCTTTAAAATTTATAGAAAACTGCACTAGATTTTTTAGGCCAATTAGGATACATTTTCCCAGTGCAGTACGTGACTGACCAGTCGCAGAAAGCCGGGAGAAAGACCTGGCCAAGGGACGTGGCTGCGTTATATGAGCCGAAAATTGTTCGGCTCTTTTCCTGGGCATTGTGTGTGTGCTGGTGTGTTCGAGTGTGTGTGGCAGATAGAGACATGAGGCGAAGCGGATAATGATAATGATTCGGGTTCTGT